ACTTAAGAATTTGAAATGTTCTACTGGATGAATTAAAATCTGTATATAAGATTACATATTTGTACATAGAATATTATATGTTTGAATATTATATTTTGATAGTGTATAAAAAAGAGAATAATTATTGAATCTTATACCTATAATATATTTATAATATTTATTGAACAATATAATAGTTTTAAACATTTGAAGAAAAGAGATAACTTTTTTGTTTCAAAATAATATTTTACATTAAAAATTTTGATCAATTTTTTTTATTTGATTTTTTAATCTCACTTATAATAGCTTGATTTCTAAAGATAACACAAATAATTGCTATCTTGTTATTCTGTTAATCAAAATAATACCGAAAAGCATACATATATTAGTAACTGATAATATCAAAAAACATAGAATTATATATCTTGTAGCGAAAATTATATAATGTCTAAGAGACACTAAGATTTTACAATTATCAAGTATTTTTCTATAAATTCAATCGTATTAAAGAAAGAAACTTAATTATTGAACCGTGCATGTGACACAAAATCAATAGGAAATAAAAGCTATTAACGGTCGAAGCTGAATTTTAAATGCTTAATAATTTAATACTACATACATCATCATTTATCTAATTAATATTAAAGAAATAATACAAAATTGTAATTTTTATATAGATAATTAGAATAAATATATTTAGGGTGCTATTCAGCAACACAAATGACACAGTGTAGTAACACAGTGTAGTAACACAGAATCATTATATTTTTGTTTGCCAATGTTAAACAAAGATGAAACGATCATTGTGTTACACTGTTTTATGCTGGAAAACACCTTTAATTAAATATTAAAATAAAAAGTAATCAATTTAAATTCTATGTTACTTAATTGCATGTAGAGAATTTTGTCGATACTTACTTATTATATTGATTTATTTGGATTTCATCAAATGAATTGTATATAAACAACCATAAGATTATGTGTCAAATAATATAGTCACAAAAGGTAGCCTAGATGGAGAACAAAAAACAATCAAGATTTGTTTTGTCATCTTATGTAATTAAATACATGTATTATTTTATATTTTATTTTATCATTAGTAGCTGTATTTTAACAATCACGCTGTCAACTCTATATTAATGACAAAACTCTATATTATAACAATTACTTTACATTCATAACTCATGAATGATTATTTTACTTATAAATAAGTAAAATTTGCAAAGTCTTCTTTGTATTTTCTATACTTATTCTCTAATTATTGCCTCATTTATTAATATGAAACAGTAATAAATAAATTCTCTTATAAAATATTATAAAATATCTTACAAAATATTTTACCATTTGATAGTAGATGTATTCATATTTATTATACTTTCTTGCATTTTCTATCTTTAAATAAAATAAATTTGTATCTTTGAAATAGGAAAGAGAGAAGAAATAAATATGAAATATGCAACTAAAATGAGTAGATATAATTTTCACTAATGTTCGTATCAGGCCACAGACAGAAAGAAGTCTGAGATAGTCTGAGAACACTGCTACGATCAGGGTGACCAGGTTGTCCAACACTAGTGTCATCAATCTAAAGCGCTGAAATCGCCCAATGCTTTCCAATATCAAAGAGAAACCTGAAATGGTTCCGGCATTCCGAAACCTCCTCCTTTTTTTGTGTATTAAATTTCATAGGATATTGACCACGTTTTCGTGATCTTCTTCCATGTTATTATGTGGATTAGGCAAGGATAAATAATCAATTTTAATTAATCCACGCAATAGTTTAGAAGAGAATCACAAAAACGTGAATATTACCCTACGAGATTTGATATATGAAAAAGATCGCGGAATGTCCACTTTCAGGTTACTCTCTGCCAATATCTAGTTTAACAAAAGGGACTAAGGCCCGTTTCTATCAAAGCAGTTAACAAAAAGTTAATCCCTAGTAGTGACATTTGATCAAAGTTTAGCACAAGATATTGATTCTATCACGTTTTTGTTTAAATTTAAACGTACACAAATTAAATTTAAATTGAATGATCAATTTTGGCTGTTTAGAGAGTTAAACTAAAGTTGAGAAATATTACTAGTATCAAATATGGCATTTCAAAAAAAAATTTTTCATATATGAATACATATAAACACACATAAATATATAAATATTTATAAACATATATAATTATATATGAGCAATTATTTTACATTTCTTCAAACTTGATATTTTATAAAACAAACAATGCAAAAATTATCCTTTTTTTTTAAAATTATTTTTAATTATTTGAAATTGTTTTAAAGAAATTGATATAAGAACTATGTACGTAACATTAACTTTATGTTATGATTTTATGATATTATATCACATTGTTGATGTAAAAAACATTTTATTATCTTTTGATATGACGTAATTCCCATCTTTTAATATCTACAGAAACTTGACAACAGCAATAAAGAAGGAAAAGTAGAATAAACAGACTTTTCCAGGATCCTACAGACAAAAATTTTCATCTTAATTTTGGCTTATTTATAATACAAGAATTATACTTTAGATTTGAAAATATTGAAAATATTAAAATTTTTAATAGTAAAAAATAATATATTTTAATAATAAATATTATTAGTATGCAATATTTATAAAAAATAAGATAACAGATATATAATCTCTCTATACATAGTAAATAAAATGCGGCATATAAAAAATAGAATACTAAAATAAATATAATGAACTTGCCATGTATTATTTTCTGTATAAAGATATTTCCAATATCTTGTCCACCCAAAAAATAAAAATTAGATATCGCTGACATTGCTAAAAGAGGGCTTGCCAGTATGCAATGAAGTCTCTTAGTATTTTTTGAAGATAAATGTGTGTTCTGCATTTTATAATATTGTTTGCTTTTGCCAATTGATGTTCCTATATTTTCAATTACTATTCCTATAAAATTGAGCAGTGCCCAAATAAAGATATTCATTTGTATCCCATGCCATATAAAAACAAATGTGAAACATAAAAATGATGCAAATAGTTTTCCAAAACATCTATTTGATTTTCGTATAGGAACATAAATATATCTGTAAATATAATATTAAAATATTAAAAGAAATATGAGCCTATATTATAATACAATATATACGATATATATAATATTTTTGATTATTGTAACAGAATAAAATATATGTGTAGTAGATAAATTCAATCAAATTTACCTTATTAAAAATTTGTATAACCCTCTATCAAAATGTTTCCACATGTCGGAATATAAATGTATTCTAGCTATGCATTTAGGTTGCGATGGCGCTTTTATATCATCCAAATAACATAAATTACTGCATGTTCCATATATTACAACATATTTATTGAAAAAAAATTGTCCCATGCAATACCCTAAACCAAATAGTTCCCAAGAATTCAAATTTTGTAAAACCTATACAAAACAAAATATATTCTTATACTTGTGTGTATAATATGTATACATACAAATGTACATTATGTACAAAAAGAATTATTACCTGCAAATGATATTGTATAGCATTTACATAAATAAAATGTAACAATAATTCAGTAAAAAAACACCAGAACATATATCTAATTAAATTTAACATAAATGTTAAAAACTTTTGACAATTCCAATACTGATGTGATTGATTAATCTGAAAAAATAAAATATTCATACTTCATTGAACTTTATGATTCTTTAGCATGTAATATAAATATTTAAACATACAGATTCCACAAATTCATGATACAAAATGAGTGGTCCTAAAAATAATGTAGGCAGGTATAAGCAATATGCCAATTTTTGAATGAAGCTATTTGAGTTGGAAAATTGGTCATCAATACTATCCATATTGTGACTGATACTTCTTAAATGTATCCAACACATCACAAGTGTTAAAATATAATGCTTCTCATCAGTAATTCCTAACCAACTTTGAAAAGGACCATTTGGAATTTTTAATATGTGTATTACAAACATATACAAAACATGTATAGTCCATGCTGCATTTTTACTGCATATACACGTCATTATATGTAAAAAAGTAGGTTGGAGTATTGTACATAACATACCCAATATACCCAAATAATAGTAAAGAAAAACTATAGATGATAAAATATACCAATAGCATAATGTCTGAAAAATTTTTGTGTTATTTTCTTCTGATATTATTCATAATTCTTTCTGCATCATACTTTGCATATAACTATCATATATATACCATACTATTACTATTGACTTTAATAATCTGACTGACAAAATGATGTATAAAAACACATGGTATCAGTCTATTTACTAATGTAAGCCATACAAGCCACTCTTGATCAGAAGTGTCTCGTTTCTTTCCAATCCAAGACCATCCTGAATCAAAATCACTGTATATATCATTATAATCACTGAAATCTGAAAATAAATCATATATGATTAAAATCATTATTATATAACAATTTAACTGTTCTCTTTTTCGATATATATTCTTACAATTATTTGCCAAATAAAATTGATATGCAGAATAAATGATGGCACACGACCATACAACAAAATAAAAATAACTTTCATAACAGTTTATAGTTATTAAACTATTGTTTTTCATTGTTAAGTTAAACTTGCCGCCTTAACAATTTTGTTACAATCACAAAAAATAATTCCAAGAAGTATCATGTAGATAAATAATAAACAGATCGAGTATGAACATGAAAGTGCAAGTAGAGAGAAAACTAATGGCCTAGTTTACATCGTATGCTTAATACACGTAACTATAAACTTTTTATTAAATTATTTTAATTTCAACAACGTATTTAGAGAATGCTGTATTAAATATATAATACAGTATACATCATGATTAATTAAATACAAATATCATGTTTTAACGTATCGCTGAAATTAAGATCATTCAATAGAAAGTAACTAGTTAATACCCGTGTATATTAAGTGCACGATGTAAACTAAATCATTGGGCGAGTTCAACGTTTCAGATTGGCGACACTGGTGTCAGACAATCTGATCGCCTGATGGTATCTATTACTCGATACATGCTGGCATGTATCAGTGAATCGTGGATTGTCTAATAAATATGTGATTCGCGTTATCGCACTGTTTTTTATTGCGTCGTTTTAATATGTGACCAGTACATTAAAAGGTATTCTTGATGGCAATAGATTGATTACATCTGAGTCAGTCTCAGCGTACTTTGTCCAAAACGCAAAATAGTGAAACTACGAATGTGATAATTTAGACTTGTTGGCTGTATTATTGTGGAAGATATATATTGTAAAAAAAAAAACAATGAGTTGGCTACGAACCAATCCGTTGCGAACGAGCTTCAGCAAACAGCGATCCAGGGACTCACCACCAAAGGACGCTGATCCATCTGCATGTTATGACAGCTTTTGCAAACATTCACAACAGATATACGAAATCATTCTGCATTCTTTAGTAAGAACAATTATTTTTAGAACTTTTTAAATTTACTATTTTGAAATTTACATCTCTCCCTAGATAATATGTGTGTCTAAAGAATATCTTCTTTAAATTACATCTTTAATTACAGATTTAAAAAAATATATATAAGTGGGTATTTGTTGAGAATGCTTTCGTTCACTTGAATTTGGGAAATGAAATGGGGAAATTGTCATTCGACGCGTTTTTGCATGAAACGAAAGAATCTGGCAGAAAAAAGTGTCACTCTGTCCCGTGAAACGAGATATTAATTTAAAAGTTCATTGCTATTGAGGTTACGAAACCTGTCATATCTGTATAGCGTAACAAATTGCGCATGCGTTATGATCACGTTGGCATCTTGGGTCGAGTTGGCGGGATGAGAGAGGGAGAAAGGGAGGGAAGGGAGAAGCTCCTAGCATAATAGGTCGCGTTATTTGAAATCCTTCAACATTTTTGAACTTAAAATGAGATATTTATCTTGAAAATATCTCTATTAATTTTGAGGGATTGTTTTATCCTCTTAAATCTGAGAGTGACTCATAAAAAGCCTATAAAAATAAAAAGTTTCTCTTAGATTTTTATGATTAACAATGTATTTCAAAGAGAATCGAATCGATTTCAGGTAGTTGTAACAGATCCTTCGTTAGTGAGAATTACTTTTAATTTCTTTATAGATATCTTATATATCTGGTATTCTTTAAAGATTATCAATTCGTATATTTTTCAGCCTCCTAAAGGGATACCTAGTCAAGATGATGTACTTGGAGTTGTTAATCACATTGACCAAATGGTGACATTATTGATACTAGAGTTACGGGATTCGAATTCACATAATCATTATCAACAGGGTAACACTGCAACACATTCTCCGTGTTTAGAATATTTATTAAGTGAAAATTTACTTGTTAAATTATACGATTGGAGTATACATACAGGAAGGTATATCATTGCTAACTATATATACTTATATCTTATATAAAATATATATTTTTATAATGTATAATATTTTTATTA